CTGGCAGTCGTGATTGGCTGACGCCGCACTTGACCTTGGCGCCGGCCAATCAGAGCCGCCGCCTTTCTCGCCGTCTTTCTCGCCAAGTGTCCAGATTGGGGCCCCTGGTCGTGCTTTCTTCGCAGGGCAGACTTTCGTTTTCTGGCCGCTCGAGTAGTGTTTACAATGTTTGTGATCAGTGTTGCCAGATTGGGCTATATATAGCCAAATTGGGCTAAATTTTTTTCTAGTTGGCGTCAAAATTTTGTGGTTGGCTATGTGGCTATTTTGGGCTATTTCTAAGAATGCGGCGAATTTTTGACGAAACTCAGGTTCGACGCCGAACCACCGAACTTTAGGGTTCGGCTAGTTAATAAAAAAAATTTTTTTTTGTCTTTTGGCTAGTTGAGAGGAGAGAGAGGATGGAGAAAGGCTTCAAACTTCTAGAAACTTCAGGGTTTTCACAATGTGCAGTGAAGCAATGCTTGCAGAGTTGAAGCGGTCTCCCCAAAACGCAGTGGAGCAAACCAAACAGGCTGAACTATTACCACAGTCCCGGCAGCACATCTTTAACCCGGACGCATATGGCTCCGCCCGAACGTAGACTGAACTTTCCAAATGCTGCTTTGGTGCCCATTGTGAGAATCCTTAGGCACCCAAGTTTGTAAAATCCAAGAAAGTACAACACAATCAGAAATAACCTGAACCGGACTGGATGGCACCTATATTCTTCACAAAGAAAAAGAAACGGGTGGGATATTGGTAAGGAAACTCCCAGTATTCTGACCGTTCTGCTTCTGTGTTTTGTTATTTTACTGTATAATCATATCTCCAAGGCTTCACAATAAAGCTCTCTTTGTGTGTTTTGTACTTCTAAAAACTTGCGATGGAAGGGTCAGTGTTGTACAAATTTTCATCCTTCCGAAGCTTTTTGTTTCTTTTTTTTTTCACAAATAACATAATGTACAGAAAATGTGGTGCATCAGAGGGTTGAAACAGAGATTGTACCGTGTATTGTATGATTGTGAGAAATTGTCATTATAAGGCTTTAAAATCATTGTTTTTAGTCTTGGCTATTTTGGGCTATATTGTTTTTATCGCTTTGGCTATATTTGGGCTATACCTTCCAGTCGTTTGGCGGTTTTTTGTTGGGGCCATCTGGCAACACTGTTTGTGATCGATCGCTCGGTTGCTGTGCCGAAAGGCTGCAGTGTACCGAAATGCCCGAATTACAGCTTCTGCAGCGATGAGGGGCGCCGATTTAGAAAATATGTCGGTGACATTAGCGCCATCAGAACAGTAAAACCTACCGGCGCACCGCCAACTCGGCACCGCTAACGCTCCCATTCTCCTACTGCCGAGAGAATTTCCGGTTTTGATGCCGGTGGACGTCACGACCGCCAAAATTACGCCGCAGCTCGCTTTGCGGTGAATTAGAGAGAAAGAAAAAGTGGATATTTCATTAATCTTCTTTTTTTTTTGTGTAAAAGTTCATAAACCGAAACGAGAACGGATGCCTGCTCGGCATAATGTAAAATGTAAAACTTTTAATGTAAAAGTTATTTGGCAAAAAGTAAAAAAGGTAATTCCATGGTCCCTTCATTCTCGACTGACTCATCAAAACGAAACGCAGAGATTAAGGTATCATGCGTTGGATGATCAGAAAAAAACGGTGCCACTTTTCGAGAGGAAGAGTGACATTGGAAAGAAAGCAAAAATAAAACTGGTTGGGTTTTTAATACTATCGACGGGTAGGTTTTCAGAAGGAGAGAACTGATTATATAAAAGCACTAATAAAATAAACAAGGCACATGCCGGAATCTTCCAGGAAAAAAAATGAAAGCCGTTTACAACTCCCTGTAACACAGAAATGGAGCGCAGCTCTTGAGGAGGAGGAGGGAAGGGTACTGAGGGTTACCTGTTCTCGGGGCGGGGGGGGGGGAGGGGGGGGGAGTCATGTGACCTTGGGGGGTCACGCGAAACCCCCAGAAAAATGTTTCCGCTAGATTTAGCGGGGAATTTTTTCCGCTAGATTTAGCGGGGAAAATTTTCCGCTAGGTTTAACGGGAAAATTTTTCCGCTAGACTTCGCGGGGAATTTTTTCCGCTAAATCTAGCGGGGAAATTTTTCCGCTAGATTTAGCGCGGAATATTTACCGCTAGATTTAGCGCGGAATTTTGTCTGCTAGATTTAGCGGGAAAAGTTTTCCGCTAGATTTAGCGGGTTAATTTTTCCGCTAGATTTAGCGGGGCATTTTTCCCGCTAGATTTAGCGGAGAAATTTTTCCGCTTAATTTAGCGGAGATATTTTTCCGCTAGATTTAGCGGGAAACTTTTTCCGCTAGAGGGGAATTTTTTCCACTAAATCTAGCGCGGAATTTTTTCCGCTAGATTTAGAGGGAAAATTTTTCCGCTAGATTTAGCGGGTTAATTTTCCCGCTAGATTTAGCGGGGCATTTTTCCCGCTAGATTTAGCGAAGAAATGTTTCCGCTAGATTTAGCGGGGAAATTTTTCCGCTACGTTTAACGGGAAAATATTTTCGCTAGACTTAGTGGGGAATTTTTTCCGCTAAATCTAGCGGGGAAAATTTTCCGCTAGATTTAGCGGGAAAATTATTCTGCTAGATTTGGCGGGGAAATTTTTCCGCTAGGTTTATCGCGGAAATTTTTCCGCTAGATTTAGCGGGGAAATCTTTCCGCTAGATTTAGTGGGAAAATTTTTCCGCTAGATTTAGCGGGGAATTTTTCCTGCTAGATTTTTCCGCTAGATTTAGTGGAGAAATTTTCCCGCTAGATTTAGCGGGGAAATTTTTGCGCCATTTAGCCGGGAATTTTTCCCGCTAGATTTAGCGGGGAAATTTTTGCGCTAGATTTAGCGGGGAATTTTTTCCACTAAATCTAGCGGGGAAAATTTTTACGCTATTTAGCGCAGAAATTTTTCCGCTAGATTTAGCCGGGAAATTTTTCCGCTAGGTTTAACGGGAAAATTTTTCCGCTAGACTTAGAGGGGAATTTTTTCGGCTAAATCTAGCGGGGAAAATTTTTCCGCTAGATTTAGCCGAGAAATTTTTCCGCTAAATCTAGCGGGGAAATTTTTCCGCTAGATTTAGCTGGGAAATTTACCCATAATGCACCGCGCGGTTACGCCGACGGCGACGGCGACGGCGACGCCGACGCCGCTTAAGCCGGAAACGGGCCCCAAAGAGCTGCGCTCTAAAACCGATCTCACCATGCATTTTGTGAATGCGTGATAACACCATAATTTTGTCTCACAGGTGGCAGGCGGCAATGGACGAGAAAACGGTGACTATGACATTTCACAGATTACATCAAGTTTGGAACAAAGACTTCCTACAAATGTTGTATTATAGGGTCTCTAGATCTTTGTAGAAAAATATATTCCAAAACCTTTCTTGTGTCTTGTTACTTTTGCAGATCTGCTAGAGCATGGAGGAAGAGTGGAATTATTGCGATAATGTTTTATAGTCTTTGTACTAGCTAAAAGCAACATACTTACCACCTTTTAATTGCAAAAACGTACGGGCTGAACTTAGGTAAATACTCATGCGTGATTAATTTTTCACGAATCTAGTCAGGTAAATTCCGCTTATAACGGTGCCCTACATCTTTCAGATACAGTGAACTAATACTAAAATTTGATTTGCAAATGCCTGCCTGCTAGTATGAACGTCGTTACCTTCTAACTGCCGATATTAGTCCTACAAAGTGCATACCGGCCTTGAAAGTCATGACGTATTCGTAAACTAAACTTTATGATGTGTCGATAGCAAGCAAGCTGTGCGTCACTCCAAACGTCTTTTTTTTAGGATGGTGACTTCGCGGAACAAATAGGTTTATGTAATTCCCACCACCGATCTGGTATATACTACGCACGCTTAGGCACGTTGTAATAAAAGCTGGAAACAGCCCTTTACATGTGTTGAGGGGAAATCGGGCATACATCAATCATTTTCAACGGTTCCCTGGCAGTTGTGGCAGTGAAATATTGTTTCCGGTACGTTTTATACACTCCAAAAAGCCCGTGCGTCTACTTTCTCGCACATTGCTCGGAGAGCCAATCACCGCAACTTACGGAGGCAGCTCAGCGAATGACGATGCCGAAACATACGTTTAGATAAAAAAATTCACACTAAGTTGTGACATCGAGCGACGCATAACGTCACGCTTGCATTGCTCAATGTCACAACTCAGACTGCGTTTTTTGGTCTAAACATTTTCGGTATTGCCATTCGCTCAGTTGCGTCCGCAAGTTATGGTGATTGGCTCTCCGAGTGTAGTGCGGGAAGTGGACTCACGAGATATGTTTTAGAGTGCAGGCTACGTTATTCGAGGGTTTTTAGAAAACTGAAGTGATTTCAAAACTTATCAAAGTTTACACATTTATTGTTCGAACCTTACATAAATAAACAAATAGTGTGCTTAATAATGGTAAGGTCTCACCATTGCACCGAAGCATTTTGTTCGCTACTGTATCATGAGCTTTTAATGATCACACAGTATCAGTGGGTAAGCAAGCTCATGCAGTTGCAATACCAGTTCACACTTCAAGTGGTAGGCATCCAACCGAGGGTCACTTGATTTTGCAGAGCAGAAATCTAAAACGTACTCAGGCGAAACACTACGTTTGGCCGAGTGATCAGAGATCACCGTTATATCAAACATTAAGCTGAATATGTATGCTATGCCCGTTGTTTTATTGTTTCTTTTCCACAGGTTGATGCATAGAAGTCAGTCACCAGCTTGCCGTGGGTATTTACTCTTTCAACAATATAAACATTCAAATCCAGGTCCAAGAAAATATTAGTCATTCTGTATTCACAGTTGTATCGGATATACACTTTTGGGGATTCCACTGACCCTTAGGTAGCGGTGGCAATGCATGCTAGAATATTTCGAGCGATCCATTGGTCAAACACTCTTTAGCTATTACTGCTTACAATTTATTTACATGAAAAAAAAAGCATTTGCCATCCCCAAATACAAATAGGCAGCTACAGATGGTCAAGGAAGGTCAATATCATTCCACAAGTTCATCAAGACGCTTCCTTCATTCTTAGACGCGATCCACTCCTTCATCCGTCCAATCTGTTCAGCCGAGAAATGATTCTTGTAATCCCCGACAATGCCCTTCCGAAGAAATTCCTCCTTAGGCTTCAAGTCTTGCTTGCCACAAAACCTATGATTGAACACCTGTATCGATTTATGCTGATTCTCAGGTGAAATTGAAAGAAAACTGGATGCCAGATCCTTCATGCCGTCGTTGATTGGTTTTTTCATGCTCTCAAAGCTGGTTGTTTTTACCACTTTGTCAAACAAGAAATGGTCCTCCCTCAGCCTTTGCCCGTATCCTTTGCCGAGGAAGTCAGCAATCTTCAGCACTGAAGATTTGATATCCTTGATGAGATCTTCGTATCTCAAGAAGAGGACATTCGAGTCGTTTCGATGCTCGTACCACGACAGCAAGTGATCAAAGAAGTCTCCGCAGCCAACTTGTCCCTTGAGAAAAGAGTCGAGGAATACGTCGAATGGAGCGTCCTGCAGCCTGTAATGAGGTATACTTCTGACGTGGTAGTAAAAAGACACACAGCAGTCATACGGGTTTCGAGTCACGTAGATGTACTTCGCCTTCTCCGAGTAAGGATGCTTGTGGAAGGGAAGGTGGCATTTAATGGCACCGGGTCGCACCATCTTCTCTACAGCTTCGGGGCCCAAAAACTCTAACCAAGGTGACCTCAGCATGAAATCTGCCATGTCCTTCGGAAGAGAACCGTCGTTCAATATGGAGTGCACAATATATTGAGTCCAAGTGGTGCCGGCCTTTTGGTAGGTCACAATGAAGATGTCGTCGCATCGGGGCTTGTAGGACAGAGCGGACCGCACAGTTTCCTCGTTGAGGAAGCTGCTGATATAAAGGCCATCAAGGTCCTTGAAGAGCAAATTGGGGGTCACAGTCCGTTCAGGTGACATTCTTGCTTTTGGTTTCTCCTGTGAAGTGTAAACAAAAAGCATACTCTGAGCCCACCGCAACATTCCAGTATAGGGTGGCAAGTGAATCCTAGAGTTGCAAAACGAACCACAAAAGCCGGCGATTGTACATAGAGAGCTCGAACGTTCCCCGAGGTCGCATTTAGGTGGTGGGTTTAACCATGTAAACTTTTAAGTCGCAGTACTTTTTGTTTCATATATAAGATTTACAATCTTGCAAGGTCAGCGACGGACGTGTCAAGCTACAGACCCGTAGCTCTCCAGTAGAGTTCCTGTAGAGGCTCCCTACGGGGGCCATAGTTGCGCGTCTGTTTTGCACCTGCCGCTGCGCCGCTATCAGCCGAGATCCGAATCACGTGAAGAGCAGACTCCAAATGCCGTGCAGGACAGCCGCCGGTACGGCCGCTTCGCCTACGGTGCAAGCGCCTCGGCGTACGTTCGCCTGCTTTTGCCCTCTCTTCCTTTCCTTTTTTCCAGGAAAGGAGGAGAAAGAGAGCGGCGCTGGTATTCGCAGAATTCTGTCGCGTGAGAAGCACACTCCATATGACATTCAGAAAAACTGGCGCTACGGGGATGAACGCGCAACTCTAATTGGGGTGTCCATGGCAAGCAAAATCGTATACTTATGGGACGCGTTTGCGTTGTGGGTCGCATTGCGTTCTTTCCAACGCTCCGCTATACTTCGTTTGAGCTTACGTTAGACGCAGCCGACGTTACGATATAATGGGACCAATCAAACGGTGTGAAACATAAAAACATAACGAACACCATGATGGTGCGTTTTCGACTTGGAATGATTGATCCCACCAGGTCATATGTCGTCTGCGTCTGACTATAGCTGCCTTTATACTCCAAAGTAACGTCGACGGGCGCGGCACACATATACTGATAGCTCGCAGATATGGAGTTCCTGGTCGCCGGATAATTAAAGGCGCACGTTCTGCACAACGCTGCGTTCACTGCGCCCAACGTCGGACTATAAACAGCCCTATAGGGTGAAACGAAGTTCAGTGCCCGTGGGTGGACGCCGACGGACACTGAGGGACGCTGACAGACGCTAGTTTCCGGCCATGATTCGGGCCTGATGGAAGCTAGGTCAGCGGTTCACGTCAACATTAAATACTCTCGTTTCGTAAGACGCTAGCGGAGGTGCCTCTTTCCGGTCGCGTCTCGTGGACGCTACAGCGACCTCCGCCAGGTGACCAAGTGAAAGGTGCATGGAATTCGGGCCATCTCCCGATAAGCGCAACGAACATACGGTGCACTCTGCTGCTTGTGGCGGGTTTCACGAGGCAAAAAACCACCACTTAGATGCACCTTAGCTGAAATACCGAGCTTTCTGTGCCCAGTCGGTGACTTTGACGTTTGTTATACAGCACTAGCATACACCATGGCCACCGTTTATTTACATTTGACTGCGTCATACTGCGTCATATCTTAGTAAAATTATGTTTTAATAGAAGAGAATCTCAGAAGATGCATTTTTGTACTATTTAAATAATAAAATTAACAACTAAGCATGAAAATATTTTTACTACATCACCCTTAATAAAATGCCAAAAAACAAATGCCATTCGCACGATTCTTTTATTGACGAACTTTTCAAACACTTAAGCTGCGGGGACCAAGGTCTCAACGGTGCTCACAAAAGCACCACCTCGGAGCTTCGCGGGCTTCCATAATCATCCGTTTCTCTACTTACCAAGGTTGTAGCAAACAAAGCACAGGCACTTGCAGCTCAGATATTTATTGTCAATTTCGCCTGGGTATAGGCCTACAATAATCAAATATTCTAAGTTAACATTTAATACACTAAATAAGTAAACTTCGCTTTTGGGAGGTTGGTACACAAGAATGGAGGCCAAGGCCGGCATCGGTCGAAACAGAAATTGTTGATCAAAACGGCAAAGGTAATCCATTAAAAAAGTGCTGTCTTTTTTTCTTTTCAAGAAATATTTCGGAAAGTATACCTTTATCGCTCCCTTTACGTTCACCGGCAGTGTAATAAAATATACTTTAAATTTGAAAACGAAGCTGCCAGGCTAAATGAGGCGCAGGGTACACCGCCAGAATCGAAAGTATAAGATAGTTATTGACACGTGAAGAAACGGTGGGCGTGGTGGTCCCCGTGTATATTGTTTTCCCTCCGCAGCCAATCAGATTGCGACATTAACCGATAAAAACGACGAGGAACGAATCACAAAGCAGAAAGCGTGAGCAGTAAAAGTCACGCTTTCCATTTCCTACAACTGTCAGTGGCTCTTAATGTGTACTGGATGTATGTACGAACAGTATATTAAAACAATCTTCTAAATACACCTCAAATACCTATATATATATTTAAGTACGCTGGAATATATTCGTATTTGTAGGTCACTTAGAGCTTAAGAAAGTAGTAAGTCACGCCTTGTCAATGACTATGATTTTGTTATGTAAAATCTGCTATCACACATTTTTAATTATTGCTTTTTGGCAAGGAAGAATTTCTAGTTAGCCAATGCATGCCAAAACGGTTGCTGATCTTTTATCCCTCATCATTAAAAACAAATTGTTGCACGCAGGAAGAAGTAGGAAAGATTTGACCAGAAAACATTTGCAGCATTGATTGAAGTGGAATGCTTCTGCATATGCTAGAATTATGATTTCCGTATATTGCTCTATCATTAGGAAAGACGAAAGTTTTTTGCTGTATCCGGATACAGCTTATAGCTTAACATCCAAACACCGGTGCTGTCAAACTCTCAAGCCTCCGTTCATTCTCTCAGTAACACTTATTATTCTGGGTGAGTCGTGCTCCTTGAACAGGAAATTTTATATGGTTGTTGTTAAATAGCAATAGTAACAGATCGCTACATTTAAACGACCACAAGCAATTAGCATCTGGCAAGACATGTTGGCTGTTGTTTAAAAAAAAAAAAAAGACAACCTCAAAACTTAAATATTTGTGTCTCTTGCCTTGGTAACATATAGATCATCAAATCGACCGCATACTGCGTGGAAATGTTTTATTTTAAGAGTTCCCTGTTTAATTGAAGTGCCGTGCACGTACTGCTAAACGACGCAAACATCACCAAAATATTACCAATAGAGAAAACCAGAAAAATATGTTGGCAATTTACAGCTCACGAAACAAAGTTTATACCATGAAATTTCAAAAGTCTGGGATTCTTGTACTGCTTACCTAAGAATCAGATCTCGCAGGGTAGAAATGATAAAAATGTGGTGAGATCTCTTGGTGCTCGAAATAAATGTTGCTGTATTGTTGTTGTTTTTTTTTGCTACGACGTAGTCACGACAGTTCCCGCTTTCTGTCTATGAGTCTCGGGCACTTTCCACACTTATAAATCTAGGGACATTGGATTGTGGGTACCGGCTATCTTGGAATAAGATTTATATATATATATCTATCGATTCTGGGTATTGCACGGCAGGTACTAGGCGCGTGTCGAACTGGAGCAAACTCGCCAGGTGTTAGTGCGAACCAGGGTGTGTGACGCACACCATCGGCATATCCAACAGACTTTTGCCCTTCCAGCCATTTTCTCAATTCTAAAAATTTTTACAAACGGATGATTGTGGTCGCTCGGAATTCAACAGAAAGGTACGGTACTGTCGAGCCCATTTATCAGCGTGTATCTACAGTTTATATAAGAGTTCACGGAATGTCTTTTTTTTATGGCACAAATTTAATGAATTGGAAACTTTGTTCGCTTTTGCTGCGTTTCATCGCACGCTCTATCGTATTGGCTGTTTTATCTTTGGCCTCTGAAAACGTCTGCATTTTGTCGATCCGTGTCATTGGTTCGACGAAGCTGGACGAGAGCGTCGACGCTATGTAGTGTAAATGAGTTGGTTAGGCGCTTTTTTGTTGTTGTAAATGCGACTGGACCGCAATTTCTACGCGCAAATTAAGTTTTCTACTTTTTTTTTTGTATGCGCGTATTTTGTTGGAGCCACACACTGCCCTGTCATGAGCTTTTTGAGTCCCGTCCCGCTATTAAAGACATCCACTCGGGATGTGACAATCTGAGGGTGTGACAGTCTGTAGCTTCTCTTTTTACACCCAGCGATAATCCAATGGTTGCATTATAGTTAGAGACGTCGGTCTACATCCGAGTCTAATCGCGTGCTATGCCAACGAAACCTAGTATAGTCAATGACCGTGCAGTTGCATGTCGACGCGGTTACACTGGGATTGAGCGCAGACATTTATTGGATGCGAGTTTAGCATCTGCGTTCAGCAAGGCCTCATGTCCTGTCAGTGAACTGAAGGACGAATAGGTGGGGTGGCGCTGCAGTGGCGTGATGACGCTTATTTATTTATTTTAGTTTGGGGAATTCAATACCATTATCCACATAGGACTTGAGATTTGTGAAATGCGTAACTTGAAATATTAATAAATCTAAGTGAGTTTGGGGGAAAATACAACAAAAGAAAACATAAATCCAGTTGAGTTGGTATGAAAATAATTTTTATTTCCGACTTGAAATCGATGCGTCAGCGATTGTGGACAGAAAGGAAATTGAGTGGTTCCATTCGGTGGTGGTCCTTTAATGCGAAAGCCTTAACTGTTCCATGGAGCGAACCGACGTCATCAGCTTTTGAAGCCGCGTCAAACGGCACCTTCCCCTGTCCCATTGGAGCGGAGCCTGTCGCCTGAAGCAGAAATCTGATAGATGGGCTCCCATTGGCTGGCGCGCGTCATCAAAGGACGAGGCTTCCATTGGCTCTCGCGCGGCGGAGTTAAAAAAGAGCCACCAGAGAAGCCCTCTCCATGGCGGCGCAGCGCACGCATCGGTCCGGCCGCCGGTAAGAGGTGCGGCGGTGCGGGCCTGGCCGCACAGCCCGCTCGGGTAAACTCCGGAGAAGCTGTACTTGCCAAGCTCAACTTGGCGCGGCCACTGCACCAGAGCGCGCGCACGGCCGTCCGCCTCTTGCTAGGCAGTCGCGAAACGTGGCCTTCCACACCGCTACACCTAGACGAACTAAAAGAGCGGAAGAACGACGTTCCTGCTTTCGCATTCACAACTCATAAGAAGTGCTTTTGTGTCCTCGGACTTTTTTATAAGGCAGTGGAATAAACATGCTAGTGCGACAGGGAGGAACATTTAATAGACCGATCTCACTAAGCGTTCGGCGCATGCGTGACGCCGCCATAACTTTAGTTCACAGGAGGCAGACGGCCGTGCATGCGAGGGCTCGTTCTGTCTCGTGCTCCACACGCGCAGAGCTCCAGCAGGGTTGTCGCACGTGCAGAAAGACTAGGGTTCCCTCAGTGCATTGCGGCAGCAGTGGCGTAGTCAAAATGGCTGGAGAGATCAGTCTATTAATATCTGTAATTTGTACCAGTGGCGACGTATGATGGTTGCGAAAGAAACTCCCTTTGTATTGACTGAATTTAACTGTTAATGCTGCGAAAGTGAGGTAGTCGCAATACATTTCTGTATTAGACAAGGTGAGAAAGATTTCACTGATATTTTGTCTCATCTACGGTGAACTAAAAGCAAGATGGACGGGCCGCCCAGGTCTAATCATGTTCCACACTAAACTATGGCATGCTTAACATTGATTAGATGTGGACGAATAAGGCTCAGAATGAAATAGCGCAGTTTAATTTTCATAGCTTCGCCATTGCAAAGAACCCGTAAGTCGTGACTTTTTTTTGTAAAAGTGACGAGTCACTCAGTGCTATTCGATTCAAACCACTGTCAGCACATCTGCATCAGTGTTCCGAAACGCGGGAATCAATAGATACGTGCATCGAAGCAAAATACCACGCAAACTATAAGTGGCTCGTGATTGGACGTGGTGGCCCGGAGCTTTTGCCTTTAGTCCGTCGTATGCAGCGTGAGAGAAAGTATCGTTTCATTGATGGTACGCTTGTTTAACAAGAGTAAAGAGGGAAAAGGAATGTTACGCTCCGATTTTGAGTTTGTTTCAGGTTATGAGTAAAACATTCAATGAATGGATTCTATACTGAAAACGCAGGAAGGTATGCAATCCTTTTCGTAGGCTTTCATTACACTCAGACATGTACAAATTGCTCAAAAAAGTTAGTTAAGTTTATTTAATGAGTATCGACGCCAAATGTGATTGGCGTAGAGTAAAAACTATGCATTTGTAATAGTAATTGAGTAAACTACTAACTACTGTAAAAGAGTAGCGAGCTACTTTTAAAGTTACTTTCGAGGTTTCTTCTTATATTTTAGTGCTAGCAAAATGCACAGCAGTTTTGAGCCGTAAAAAAATCCTACGAGCCTAAAATGAATGCATTTTATGGCTTGCGTTTTCACCAAAATAGTTTATTCGCTCGCAGAAGCAATGGACTTTCAAAGTTAGTATCGGAAAGCTTCTCTTTTTCCTCCTAAAGACGTCTCCAGCCAAGCTGAAAAGACGTTCCACAGTGGCGCTGGAGGGAATGGCAGCGTTGAATCTCAGAAACAGGCTGTGCAGGGTCGGGTAAGCGGGTGCCGGCATCTTCGGTGCCCATGACGAAACCTGTAAGGTCTGCTTCGGCTAGAAAATCTTTTATAACAAACTCTCCTTTCTTCTGCGGCAGGTTGAGATTGTTATAAATGGCCTTTCTTTATTCCCACAATGTTCGGATAGTACGCTGAGCGAGTGCACCTGACTGTCATGGGATCAAGTGTCGCGCCACGACGATGAGATCATCCGGGCGACTGCTCGTCTCGCTGCAGTGCTAGTGCAACACTACTAAAAAAGAAAACAAAATGTTTTGGTTTAACAGAAGATGAAACGAAGTATAATTCACCGCTGACGCCGGGTACAACAAAAGGACCTCCCAATGGTGACTCGCAGTCCTGGCCCGCGACTACGGTATCCTGGCGAGCCTAACACGCCTCACAAGTAAAACGTTTTCAACAAAGAGGTCTCCCTGGCGTGGAAGGTCGGAAGGACGCGAAAGATTACATGAACAAGCATCGTCACTCGTTCAATTGCAGCTGGAAGCGGGAACGCGCTCCCATGAACGGATTAATTTATCCGTGTCTGCGTTTGTGCAAGGGGGAGTCCGGCTTTGCAAGGCAGTATGCGCTGACGGCGAGGCAACCATAGAAACAGGCCATTCCATTGGTGCATCCCGTGGAACCCCCAAACCGCTTGAGGCAGAACTCACTAAAGGCAGGCAGCATGAAAACAACAACAACCCTCGGAGTGTCCCCGTCTTTCACGGTCGCAGCTGGAGGCGTGGCGCCTGCGTGCATTACCGGATTAGGTCAATACGCGACCAAGGCTTGTTAAGCATCTCTGCCTGCGTTCGTGCGCGCCGGTGTTATGTTCTATTCTACGGCTGCCGAGTGTGGGATCGGAATGTGAGGGGGCACCTTGTTCGGGAATGCCACTTTATCAGCTGGCGTTTTCTTTCTTTCTGCGCTAAACGCTTTGTGATGAGCAGAAATAGCACTCGATTTCGAAAGTAGTTAGTAATTTGAGTAGAAGTTACCTGAGAAACGTAGTTAAATTAAACTACTAATTGCCCAAATAAAGTTGTAACTGAGAGTTACCAAGTTACTCGGAAAAGTAGTGAAACTACAGTAGTTTAAGTAGAGAAGCTGAACTACGTCCAAGTCTGATTACACTCGGTGGTTTTTGCTATCCTCTGAACTTCTTCCACCCTAGCGCCCTCCAGACCGGCCAGACGAACGTCTCAACTCGTAACACCAAACGTTGATTTGTTTTTTTTTTGTATAAAAACTTGCAAAACAAAAAACTGTTTGCCCTCTCCAAGCCACCAGGGTGGCTAGGTTGGACATTTACATGTACGTTTTGAAAGGTCGCGGAAGTGACGTAATGCCCTCTGACCAATGGAGGCAATTCACTCCACCCATCAGACGCGATTACGTCACTTCCGTGACCTTTTAAAACGTACATGTAAATGTCTGACCAAGCCATCCTGGCCTCCCTTTTGCCCAGTAAATATTCAATCCTGTTTTTTTTTTCGTTTTTTTTTTGAGGGTGTGCGTATCTTTCTTATTAGCTTATTTGACCCATCGATTGAACAGGAAGAAGCAAATGATGTTCTTCAAGAGGGAGAACGAATGGTCCGTCTATTTGCGGAAGAAAAGGTAATATAAAGAGGAATTAAAAAGAAATACACCGAGTGGGACATTAAAGAGATCCTCGTCGCATCTGAAAACAACAAAATACAATGAAAAAAAAAAGTATGCAGTTCTGAGAAGAAAGAAGCAGGCACATGCCGGAAACCGCGGAAACATTCTGCGTAAAAGTATGAAGAGTTATTTACATGCTAGTCATAAAGAAGGTGGTATCCTCATGTTGCCCG